CAGGACATGAGTTCTGGATGGTCAGCATGTATTGTGAAAGGAGATTCCCAGAGACTCAGCCCCAGAGGGCATCCTTTGTGTCAATGGCACACAGGGACAGAAACTGGCAAGACTGGACAGCAAGGAAAAGGTGGGGAAACACCTTTTGTTCCTCTGTTGCTTGTAAACCCAAGTCCTATGTAAGTAAGGACCAAGAAGGCGAGAGGCCGGCTGGCAGGCAGACAGGCCTTGCCAAACTCCCAATTACTTCCCAGAAGTTTCAGGGTCCCCTGGGAGTAGCTCCACCCTGGCTGGCACCCCTCTGAGCTGGGGCATGACGTCAGCAGGTCCTCACAGCTCCCTCACCCTTTCACCCAGTGACTAGAGGACAGACAAAGGGGTGAGGACATCCTGACCCAGAAGTGCAGGCATCCACTCCCATTACTACTTCTACCACACCCAGCTCAGAGCAGTGCCCAAAGATGAAGCTCAAAATGATCTCTTCTGCAGGTCTCAGCATCCCATTCTGGCTGCACTTCCTAGGGTTATAATTGATTTTGATGCATCAGAATGAGTGCTGAGTTAGAAAGACCAAGGTTAACACCCGAGCCCTGTCGTTTGCTGACTGATGGGTGGGTGGCCTTGGGCACTCACAAGGTCTCTTCAGCCTCCATTACCCCAACCGTAAAATGCAGTCATGATACTGATCTTGCAGGAATTTTTTTGAGGATTAAATTTAAAATATATCTAAGGGTAAGAGATTATCATTACTAAGCCTCACCCTATGATAGGAAGTGAGGGTGGACTTGGGGCATCTTGGGGCAGGTCTAGGCTGGAGCCACCTGGACAGTGCAGTGGCTGTTGAGACTCTTGTCCTTTAGTGAATGAAGCCTGAATATGTCACCTGCTTCAAAAGTCACTAAGTTCAACACAAGGGCAGGGGAAGGAGTTGTCACTTACAGCTGGGAGATAAGGAAGTGTGAGGGCACTGAAGTTGGACCCTAAGGGTACTCAAGGGTTGGCAGGCAGAGCCGGAGAGGAAAGTAAAGTGAGAAAAGCCCTATAGGGAGACAGTGACTGGGGTCTGGGATGTGGTGCATGGGGCGAGGGTGGGGCATCCTGTGTGGTAGCTAAGGGGGTCCAGCAAGAGAAGGGATTGGGAAGGTGGCTGGAATCAGATCAGGAATGGCTCTCTGAAGCTGGGGGCTTGGCAGGCAGCCTTCAATGAGCAATGAAGCCTCTAGGAAGGCAAGCCCTAAGGCATGCAAAGATGGTGCACCCAGAAGAAATCAGCCTGTGAAGGACCACATGGCAAGATTGCAATGGTAGTGGGGAGAGGGTTCTTCACCCTAATGGTAGGAGGTATCTGCCTGACTCCACAAAAATCACCACCCCTCCCAGGACTGAATCTCAGTGTGACTTTCACCTGCAGGATCCCAGCACCACTGCTTCTGTTGAGCAGCTGCAGGTTCTGCATTGGTGCTGGGATCCCACAGGTGCAAGTCTAGTCTCTCCTTCACTCCTAAAGGCAGTTCCTTAGGCAGCCAGGGAAGGTTAGGCTAGTTCTCCATCATCCTCCAGAGTGCAGACCAGGCTAGTGAGGTCCAGAGAGAGGAAGGGATTTGCCTTGGGTTAACAGCCAACATGTGGTCAAGCTGGGGCCAGCCCCATCCTCAGCACCATGCCCTCCCCCATGCCTGTGCAGTGGGGCCTGGGGGACAAGGAAGGACAGGATGAGCAGCAGCTCTGGATTCGGGCCTGCCCAGCTGTCGAGGTGAGTTGTGGTCTGGCTGCCACAGCCAAGCTGGCAGGCACAATCTGTTCTCACCCTGCTGCGGCATGGATGAACCAAGCACAGTGGTTCAAGAGCTCAGCTGTCGGGCCCCTGGCAAAGAGTGATAGAGTCACTTGCTCGACACTATGGTCGAGGCAGTGGAGCTTGTTCTCAGGGCAGTCCCATAGCCACACACACCCTGAGCAGCTGTCCCCAGACCTCTCAGAGCTTTAAGATTCAAATGGCCCTGAGCTGGCAGAGGCACCAGCTTTACTGGAACTGTGCTGCTCCCAAGACTGGTGCTATGCTGGAAATGTGAAGGAAATCTGGCACTTTGTGTGCTGTTAATTATGATGAGCCATTATTAAGGACTTGATATGTACCAGACTCTAGGCTAAGTGCATTACACACATTATCTGACTTATTCTTCCCAAAAGTCCTTGTGGAGCAGGCTATTTATTTATTAGCTCCATTTTACAGATGAAGAAACTAAAGGTCAGAGGGGTTTAAAAAAAATGGCTAGTCCATGGTAGAGTCAAGATTCGAATTCAAATCTGACAGCAAAGCACATGGTATTCTGCCCTACCATTCACTCATCAAACATATTTTGGGTCCCTTGGGCATGGCTGGCTATATAGGGTGGAATTTAGAAAGGAACATGATGAGGTCTAGCAGTGCCCTCACCCTGAAGTCAGTGTTTAATTTGCATGTGTAGTTGGGGACTCTGAAGGACAGAGAAAGAAGTGGTGGTGATATTGGCCCTGGAGTTAAAAACTGAATATTCTCAGTCCCACTCAAATAAGTCAGAGATCATTTATGGCTCTGAGGAATCCAAGAAGGCTGCATGGAAGAAGAAGCATTTGGTTCAGTTTTGATAAGGCTTAAAAAGGAGGAGAAAAAAATTGAAAGGCCGCCAGCATTATTTTATGATCTCTGTTAATAAAAATAATAAGTATCTCAAGAGCTTGGTGAAGGAAGCAGGCCCAATGGACCTCATTTTGCTAATGAAGAAACAAGCTCAGAGAAGGAGAATAGTTTGTCCAAGGTCACACAGCCATTAGTGACAGGGTCAGAACTTGTGGCCAGAGCTTCCTGGAATTCCCATCCAAGGTTCATCCTCCTCCAGGTCAACAGGCAAAACTGTTGACTTAAGACCATTTGATGGCTGGCTCAGAGTGAGGCTTTGCCTCTACCTGGCTCCTTGCTCAGTGCAGGGTTGGGATAGGGGACGGGGAGGTATGGGGTGAGGGTGGGCATGGGGAAGTGGCAGTAGTGTCTGGCTGGTGATGGTAACACACCTCAAAGGACACCAGGGCTCCTGGGTAAGATCACCTTCCCATGATGACCTCACTTTGGGGCCAGGCACAAAGAGTGAGCCCAGGACCCCAGACTGGGGGCTGGTGAAGAGCCTAGAGCACTGATGATACAACTGGGGGAGGGGACAAGGGGCACTGTCTCCTTTCTCCTTTCCCAGCAATGATGGGCCAGTCACCCTAGGACCTACTATCCCCATGCCCCGCCCCCTGAAAATGTTTGGCTGGCAGCAAGGAAATCATTAAGGTGCCATCCATGCCTCAGTTTCCTCCCTCTGTACTGAATAACTGGATGTCAGAGCCCATTTAGTCCAACCTCTTCCCATTATAGCCAAGGAAACTGAGACTGAGAGAGGACAAGGAATATGTCCAAAGCCCATGCCACAGAACTAGAACCTAGGTCTCCCACTTGACTGGCCATTACCCTTACCACAATCCCTACTGCCTCTGGACAAAGACGCCAACACTGCCACCAGTCAGTTTGTCCTCCTAGATATATAAAACAGTCCAGTCTTTCAAATCAGACTCCAGTTCAAAGGCAGGTTGCTTGGCTTCCAAACCTTGGAAGTCACTTAACCCTCCCAAGCCTGTTTCCCCCTTCCTTCCTACCCACCTTATGGAGTTGTCACAAGGATAAATTAGAAACCATAAGCTATGAGAAAGACATAGAGAGGTACATGGGAAGTACAGACAACAAATATGAACCCTTTTGCATATACAGTACTGAGTTGTCAGTGAA